AATTGCTTTCAGTGTCAGTGCGCACGTAGTGTGCTGGGAAAAGCATCTAACATGCACGGGCTACGTTATTATTATGAGCATGTTTAAGAATTTAAATTGGACTGTAGGCTACTGGTATATTCGCTGCGATACAGAATATACTCACCTAGGCCTACCCTACGATGGTGAATGGCTGTCACAATTCAAGTATGACCAAAGCTTGAGTTCTTTTTTACCTTAACCTGATCATCACTGTCTCCCCCTCTCCATCCATTGGATGTCGCTCTTTTGTCCAGCTCAAATATTTTAGAGTTATAAAGTCTCGTGTTTGATCGTGAGAGTTACATGCGTTTATTTCTTCGGGAAAAAATGGTACTTCCCATCTGAAATCTCACATCAAACTTCAACCTCTTCCACTGTTCCAACCGCCCCACACACATTTGATCTTCGGTGAATCTTATTGTCATAATGAATTTTTGTACAAATATCTTCCCAAACACATACATTTTACAGTCATTTTATGACGGTAACATTATGACTAGCCTATTTCTCCTATTTATTCAAGCTTAAAATATGCTGTCGATGTTTAATGTTCCACTGTAAAAGCCAGTTGTGCCTGCCTGGTAAATCGGTGCAAGCATATTACCATGATAGGACAGTACAGTTAAGATATTTTTTAAATAATATTTAACAGATAACTTACCCAACCCGTTATTCCTCCTAGCCACCAAAAAGACTGAAACTAGAAGGCATCGGGCACGTCAGCCACGGGCATGGGCGTATGGTGAGTGATGCCCTTAATTTGGTCTAATGTATAACTGCATCCCAATCGTTTTTTCTGGTATTATTCAACTGACCGTCTTTGCTCTGCCATCCCACAGCTCAACACAGAACATCTGACAGATGATATGCACCATCACAGATCCAATGTCGATACAATACCTTTTAATGCAGAAGCCAATTAAAGTATGTGTAAACTTGCCCCTTTCTTGTCTGCCTGTTAGTGTATCACACTGTAACCCAGATTGATTTTAATTACTACTGGTTTAGATAGTGTACAGTGCATTCGGAAAGTATTCAGACCCCTTGACTTTTCCATATTTTGTTACTTTACAGCCTTATCAATATTCACACAAATCCTTATAATGACAAAGCAAAAACCGGTTTTTAGAAATGTTTGCAAATGTATTAAAAATACAAAACTGAAATATCACATTTTCAGAAGTATTCAGACCCTTTACTCAGTACTTTGTTGAAGCACCTTTGGCAGCGATTACAGCCTTGAGTCTTCTTGGGTATGACGCTACAAGCTTGGCACACCTACATTTGGGGAGTTTCTCCCATTGTTCTCTGCAGATCCTCTCAAGCTCTGTTAGGTTGGATGGGGAGCGTCGCTGCACAGCTATTTTCAGGTCTCTCCAGAGATGTTCAAATCGGGTTCAAGTTCGGGCTCTGGCTGGGCCACTCAAGGACATTCAAAGACTTGTCCCGAAGCCACTCCTGCGTTGTCTTGGCTGTGTGCTTAGGGTCATTGTCCTGAGTGCTCTGGAGCAGGTTTTCATCAAGGATCTCTCTGTACTTTGCTCCATTCATTTTTCCCTCGATCCTGACTAGTCTCCCAGTCCCTGCCGCTGAAAAACATCCCCACAGCATGATGGTGCCAGGTTTTCTCCAGACGTGACGCTTGGCATTCAAAGGCCAAAGAGTTCAATCTTGGTTTCATCAGACCAGAGAATCTTGTTTCTCATGGTCTGAGAGTCCTTTAGGTGCCTTTTGGCAAACTCCAAGTGGGCTGTCATGTGCCTTTCACTGAGGAGTGGCTTCTGTCTGGCCACTACCATAAAGGCCTGATTGGTGGAGTGCTGCAGAGATGGTTGTCCTTCTGGAAGGTTCTCCCATCTACACAGAGGAACTCTGAAGCTCTGTCAGAGTGACCATCGGATTCTTGGTCATCTCCCTGACCAAGGCCCTTCTCCCCCGATTGCTCAGTTTGGCCGGGCGGCCAGCTCTAGGAAGAGTCTTCGTGGTTCCAAACTTCTTCCATTTAAGAGTGATGGAGGCCACTGTGTTCTCGGGGACCTTCAATGCAGATCTGTGCCTCAACACAATCCTGTCTCGGAGCTCTATGGACAATTCCTTCGACCTCATGGCTTAGTTTTTGCTCTGACATGCACTGTCAACTGTGGGACCTTATATAGACAGGTGTGTGCCTTTCCAAATCATGTCCAATCAATTTAATTTACCACAGGTGGACTCCAATCAAGTTGTAGAAACATCTCAAAAGCTCAATTTCGAGTCTCATGGCAAAGGGTCAGAATACTTATGTAAAAGGTATTTCTGTTTTTTTATTTTTTTTAATACATTTGCAAAAATGTCTAAGAATCTGTTTTTGCCTTGTCATTATGGGGTATTATGTGTAGATTGATGAGAAAAAAAAGTAACATAAAAAGTGGGAAAAAGTAAAGGGGTCTGAATACTTTCCGAATGCACTGTATACCTAACCTATTAGTCCTGAGACTATTGTCTCAACCTGACACCCTCTGTTCCTCTTGTCTTGTTGGGCTAGAGCTAAAACATAAACATTATCTTATTCACTGAATGGCCTTTCTGTACACCAGTCAGCTACCCAAATACACACTCAGTGACAGTTTCATCTCTGTACACATGTTCTGGGCTAGTATTGACTATAATATTAATATTACTCTCATTATAAATATGACCCAGCAATGCATTTATATGCACCCGAAATTGACAAGTTACGCACGTTATTCAGTTCCAGATTGTTGTTCCATTCCTTGCCAAAAGGTATAAAATCACTAGACGTCATGTCTGACAATTCAATGACAAGTCCCCCCCCCCAGCATCCCAACTGTGTAGTTGGCAAGTCCCCTGTAGCTCAGTTGGTAGAGCATGGCGCTTGGAACGCCAGGGTTGTGGGTTCGTTTCCCACGGGGGGCCAGTATGAAAATGTATGCACTCACTAACTGTAAGTCGCTCTGGATAAGAGTGTCTGCTAAATGACTAAAAATGTAAAAATGTGGGGTGGAATCCCAAAAGGCACACACATAGCTACCACTTTACATTTAAGTAATTTAGCAGAGCGACTTACAAATTGGTGCATTCAACTTAGGATAGCCAGTGGGACAACCACTTTTTTTTTTGTATAATTTGTTTTATGGGTAGGGGGGTGGGGGGGTAGAAGGATTACTGTTATACTATTCCAGGTATTCCTTAAAGAGGTAGAGTTTCAAGTGTCTCCGGAAGGTGGTCAGTGACTCCGCTGACCTGGCGTCGTGGGGGAGCTTGTTCCACCATTGGGGTGCCAGAGCAGCGAATAGCTTTGACTGGGCTGAGCGGGAACTGTGCTTCCGTAGAGGTAGGGGGGCTAGCAGGCCAGAGGTGGATGAACGTAGTGCCCTTGTTTGGGTGTAGGGTCTGATCAGAGCCTGAAGGTAAGGATGCACATGCTGCCAGTAACCTAATTATGTCCTCACACATCACTCCAGTGGTTGTCACTGCCATGCTTTTATCAGCTCTGCGGAGTTGGAAGCTTACTGTCATCTTGCAGCACTCAAATTGTTTTGAGTGTTTGACTTCTTTAAAATGTGTGATCCAAACCTCCCTGTCTGTACAGAGCCACCACCCTGGTTCCACCTGAAGAGGAACAATTACCTTGTTCACCGACTGCTCTTCCTGTAAGTGCTGAAGTTCTGTTTCTTCAGAACAGTAGCATATGAAAAAAGTTCAAAGAATCCAGTCGTTTGAAGTCTTTTGTGTTTAATTACTGAATTTTACAAAGCAATGCATGTTTGAAACATTTACAATCATTTTCTTCATGTGTTAATGCATGTACAAATCCTCCCAACCAGGTGTGGACTTTAAAGCTCTCATTCAGCAAAAAGACAGGACAACGATGATCTAAAATACAAAACAAAACATAGTAACTGTACATCCACCATACATTAGCTTGCATTCACTCACTCAGTCTGATCATATTCTTCTCAAGCACACTTTAATGTCAGTGGTTAATCAGAAACAAAGGCACATTCACTCTGTACCGTCCTACTGTAACTAGCCTCATAATTAAGGTACCAGACACCTAAGAATCAAGCTACATTGGAGGGTATCACAGCCAGTTTACAGTGAAATATGTACAACATATTGACATTTCATTGATGTTCTTGATAGACAAACAAGTGAATAAGTCAATAAAATACAGGGTTTTGGGTGTATCAGATCTTCAGTTTGCAGTCGAACAAGCTTTCATGCTCCGGTATTTGGTTATTAAGTAGCAGGTTTCCTCAGTTCTTTTTGTGAAGAAACTTCATTTTACTTCCTAAAAGACACAAACAAAATGCAAGTAAGAACTGTTCACATCATGCAATTCTTTTTTTTTTTACACACACACTTCGATGACATTTTCCAATTAAGCCGACATCTGCAGCGTTTACTGTGAATGTGATCTCCATGAATGTCGGGGAAATTATATAGTGCCTCGGATGGAATCCCGGCTTTAGACTACATCAGGAATCATCAACTAGATTCAGCCGTGGGCAGATTTTTTCTTGAGCGGATGGTTAGGGGGCCGGAACATAATTACAAATAAGTTGTAGACTGCAAATTGACCGCAAGAAACCCAAACAGATATAATATTTGACTAAAATATAATAATTTTGAACCTTGCTTAGGTTTGTATACGATCACATATATCTCTTTATAACGTATGGGAATAATTTGGAACAGATTTCCAAAATGTTAATCACTTGTAGCTGATTTGCTGGTGCTTTTACTGTCTTTTATGTCCAACAATATTTGGGGAACCCTGGACTACATGGTGCTCATTACTACATCATGGCCAAATGTGAATAGGCTTCTTTTAGACCAAAACTTTGTATCATCCTACATTTTAAGTCAGGTTACAATTTGTCCCAGTGGTAAAGTGGACGGGAAAGGTCTGTTGAGGGGAGATATTTTCTATGTTTTAAGTGCAGATTCTATTTTATTTTATTTGAGAACTCACCTAGCCCTTTGAGGAACTTGTTCACTCCACTCTGCTCTGTGTCTGGTAGCTCTTCCAGGTACTGCTCCACCCTCTGCTCAAAGAGTCCTGACAGAAACACAACAAAATGACAGAATAACATGAGGTAATTATTAACATTATTAATGTTATATTGTGAGGTAATGTTACAGTGCAATATATCAGGGAAGGCATGTTTTGGTATGGGGTGAAATACCCTTCACTGTGTGACCAGGAGATGGCACTGAATACCCAGCTAGAACCACTGTCAACTAGTGGTCCGTACCAGCACAGGTTTGAGAAGATCCCTTTAGGGATTTTGGACTACTTTGGTGGAAAAGTGAGGGGTGGCAGAGCCTACCTCTAAAGAGAATTTCTACCAATCATTACAGTTGACATATTATTTGTGTTATGATGAACTACAATGAATCCATTTTAGGAGGACAGGACACACGTAACGTTATTATCTCTTTAACAAGTAGACAGGACCATACCATTACAGACTGTTGTGTAGGGGTGGATTAACAGGGTCACTGTAGGTTTGCTCTACCTTTGGCCCGGCATTTCCGCAGCTCTCGGTCTTGGATGAACCCGGCAAACATCTGGGACTCCATGAAGACCCCCAGGAAGCGACGGATGCTCTTGGAGGCCACAGACTTGCGGAAGGCCTCGCGCTGGAAGATGCGTTCTCCGCGCTCGCTCTGGGTGAGGAAAAGGGAGTAGTGGCCGATGGTTTCCAGGAAGAAACGGATGAAGGCCTCCGACACCAGGCTGTTCAAGGAGTTACACTCTACAGAAACAGACGAGACAGGATAGGTTAGTATTATGATGCTGAAACACACTTAATACATGTTCAATACATCTAGAAAGAAGCAACACAATCTACAATGGAACTCTTTTTATGCTTGAGAATTGTGCTTGAGAATCAAGTAAAGCCTATATCATTTGTGGGAATGACACAAGAGTTATTTAGAGCTGATGTTTGACTGATAGTGTATTCATACGTAACATTAAACAAACACTACATTCTGAACACCAGTAACCTTCAATTCAGTGAGGTGAATCACCCATTCCAGGAGTTCTCATCACTCCACAGACAGTGTATTGCTCCCAGACATGTGCTGTACATGTTCTTGTTCACAGGGTTGAAACGTGGCCAGTGCTCTGTTGTCCTAATTTACACTCGTAACATCTGGTTTAGTAGAGAGTGATGATGTGTCCCTCGTTCACCTTCGTCTGACTCGCTGTCAGAGTCCTGATTGATGATGTCATTCCTCTGCTCCAGAGCTAGCTCAAGAGCAGACTGGAGTTTCCGTGGCAACAACGAGGCCTCATCATCCATCTATACACACGCATAACAATTTAATTAGCGATAATAAACAAAAATATCAAATGATCAGTCCATATTATATTACAATAAACTTTCTGGTCTTTGTTACGGGGAGGTACTGGAGAATTGAGACCAACCTGTCTGATGAAGCGGTCAGTTCCCAGGTCCACCATCAAAGCCTGCAAAGGAAACAAACAAGTCACATATTTGTGACTCATTTCAGGAAACTAGGCGTATGTCGCACGTCACTACTTCACAGGAGAGGCATTTGAACTTAAACAAGTATTTTTTATCAAAATGCGTTTTTTGGCAGAAATGCCTTCTGGAACATGTGAACTTTCATGTGCCTCAATAACAAACTTTTATTCCATCCGTAAATACGAATAAAATTGTTAAATTACGAGCCTAATTGGTTTAGCTACGGAAAAAGACAGGAACCATCCCACTAGCCATGATTGGCTGAGATAATGGATGGGCTGGACATGCCGAGAGATGAGTTTGGATTGGTCTGACATGTAGCATGCTTCTGTCTATAACTTGAACTGTTCAGTATGTGTTTATAGTCCTTTCTACCGCACCGTTTATGAAAGATATAACGTTAGCCATCGAGAACTGCAAAAGTTTTGCTACTTTTCTCAACAACATTGATGCCCTGAATTTAGCAGGCGCTATCAACAGATCAGTTGGAAAAAGTGATGGGCTACTTTCTGCACAGGCCACGGTCAGTGTGAACCGGAGTGACTTTACACAACACTGGCCAAACAAGATGTAGCTACAAACAAAACAGAGTTAAATGGTTCCAGTCTGTCGTGAAGCATTCACCCATGTATACAGATAAGAGTCTAGCAACATTGTCTGATATTATCAGTTTCTAATTTTGTCAGAAAGTCGTTTTCATTGCAAGTTAAAGCGTACTGTTCGCTATCTAGCGAACATTAGCTTACTGGCTCGCTAGCTAACGTTACGGTTATGATCTGTGTAGTAATATTATTTGAATCAGAAAACCATTTTCATTACTAGTTATAGCCTAATGTTAGCTAGCTAACATTGAACCTAGTTGGTTAGCTTTAGCTACCTGCAGATTCATACTACAGCTATGACAATGTTTGTATTGGTAGTAGTAGGAGTTGGGATTATGCTGGTTCATTGTTTAGCTAGCTAGCTACATGTCTAAACAAAAGACTCCACTTCGCCAGATGATTACATGACCCATCAAGTTAGCCAGGTGTGTCTGGGGGTGATTACGGCCATCTATTGTATTTCATGAACATGTGCACATGTCTAGACAACTGTGGCCCATCCACTTAGCTAGATGTGGCTGGGGGGTGGTTATAGCATTTCCTTCACATGACCCATCAATTTAGACAAGTGTGTCGGGTAAGTGTCATCTAATAATTATAAAATATTTTATCTGGACACTTTCTGTTTTTGATATTTCTACTATGCAAGTAACTATTTCACTGTACCGTTTACACCTTCTGTATCCTGTGCATGTGACAAATTAACTTAGATTTTATTTATTTAATATAGTGTGTGTTTACCAGAGACAGTAATGTGAAGAACAACATGACCTGCACCAAAGTCAGATTAGGATATAGGCCAAGGACTAGATAAAGTGTATATTTACCTGGAGTATTTCTTTATTGTAGGCTACTACTTTTACAACTTTTAGTCTTGAAATCTTTGGTTGTTTACTAAACTGCTCACTCTGTTTAGCACATGGCCTCACATATGAATCCTTAAAGAGATGGGTGCTAAGGCTTAAGAATGTGTCAACGATGCTGAATGGGTGTAGACAAAGGAGAGCTTTCAGGAGGTGTACCAAAACATTCAAGGAACATTCTCAAAAGTGGGGTTACAAGTTTATCAAAAAAAATACTATTTTGCTCCATAAGACCGAATCGAGGTGGTCGATCACATTTAGGAATCTTCAATCAAATCCAGGCTTCTTCCATGTGCATACAGTGGAATCCCAATGCCCTCTACAAATAAATCTAACTCTCCATCAAGAGAAAGACGAGCTCTTCCAGAAGTTGGAAGTGTTATACCAGCGTTAAAACAAGATCTTTAAAAGCACTGAAAGGATACTTGAGGAATTTTTATTGAGTCGATCAGCAACATCAAGACAGATGTAAAAAGACAACAGATGCTGTTGACAGGCCATTAAAAGCCCTGTGTTAAGTATGACAGACGAGGTGAGATGGTATTTTCACTCATTCCACGGGCTGAGGGCAGATGCTGCTGACTTGGACTAACTGTGTTAATGGCAGAGAGCTGGGCTTTAAGAGGCCTGATGGCTTCTCCTGCCAGGCTTTTAGTGAGAGACAGAACCTCCCTCCCAGGACCCCAGAGTGGAGGGCTGAGGCTGCCCTGGCATGGGCCCTGCAGGCAGCAGCAGCTGCCAACTGCCAAGGCCACATTCACTGGGGGGTTTAGGCCAGGGTCAGCCACACTACAGCACATTGAGGCAGGAGGAGTTGTTGCTACTTTAACGAGGACAGATTCAAGTGATTTCCCCCTCTTTCCACTGTGCCTCGGCAAATCAGCGCTCCGTTCCAAGAATGCTGCAGAACAGAGCAGAACAGTCCAGCTGGGAGAGCAGAGAAGCAGACGCGTCGTCTTGTCCTCCTCTCTCTGTAATTGGTGACAAAACTGCTGCAGGTCAACGTCCTGTCAGGCTTTGACCACAGCGAGACTGCTGGACAGCACTGAACAGGCAATTATAGCTATAGCAGGCCTCACACTTTGTGTGGACTCTGACAGCTCAATATTGGGAAGCTCATGGCTTGAATTCTAATACTCAATACTGGGAGCCTACAGGGTCCATGGGCAGCAAAACAGAGGAAACGGGTCATATTACATCCAGCGCTCTGAGAGAATTTGAGCCGACCTTTCGAAAACACAATGCTATTGCTCAATGTGTGACTGTGAATTTAACATGAGACTGATTTAGAACTATCTCTGGTATGTAGCGCTTGAATGAATATGACATTTTAAAAAAGTTTGAGGGTAAAATTGCTCTGAATCACTGGAAAATAATTGTTCAGATGGTCCAACAATTGACAAGAGGGCATTCTTTCAAATTAGCCTGTGACAGTCATCATGAGAGTGTGGTTTCATCCTGGACCCAGGGGTGGTACTGGGTCTCTGAGGGAGGTTGGGAGGAGCACCATTATAGCTGTCTCGTGAGATGTCCCACTTACTGTATATCCGGATCCCTCTGAATCTGTCCCATGGCTGCACCAATCAGCCAAGAGGATCAACATTCTCTACGCAATTCTCGTCAGAAATATAAGTCCCTCATTGGGTAAATGTTTAATGAAAACAAGCAGGGTAATTGACTGTGTAATATACTGTAGGTTGTTGTGGGCGTTCTACTGCTGACCAGTAACAGGAAGGCAACTCCCCAGCCCAGTGTCTAACAGAGAGATGGAATGTGACAGTGGAATAGCCTCTAATCTGTAGCCTCAAGCAAACCAAATCAGAGGCACAGAATGAGGAGGAGCCAATACATTAAACCTGATCAAAGAAAAGCAAGACAGTGGGAGACAAAGGGGAAAAGCCAGAGAGAGACAGATGGAGAAAATCAAGTACCAACCTCTTCCACAGGCAGGTCTTTGAGTTTGGGCAGTGAGCTGGACAGGAGCCCCACCAGGAAGGGTGTGGGGCAGCAGACGATGTCCACCATGGAGGCAGGCAGGACGGGGATGAAGGTGTGCTGCCAGGAGAAGGGATAGAGCAGAGCCACCACCGCGTGGATACAGCTGGACAGGGTACTGCAGAAGGGAGACAGACAACCAGAGAATTACATATAGAATCACTATATCTAATCATTTTAAGATCTCTATGGAGACAGTCAACATCAGATACAGCTGGACAGGGAGGGAGAGAGACAACATCACTCACCTTTACAATCACAACACAGAACTGCAGGGGGCCGATCAGCAAACCAGATATGAACACTGTTAGGGGAAAACATGGGGATGCCAGATTTTCCATCAGATTGCCCACTTTATCCTGACCTTTGAAAAGGGAGTGGTGGGTTGTGTTTTGAAGTGAACCCTGAATACTCCTAAAACAACAGCCAGCAGCGGACAAAGAACAACAAACAGATGCAACAAAAATGTGGACTCTCATGTTCTTCTATAAAATACAAAATAAAACCTTATTGAGATTTGTTTAAAGTTCATCATTATCTTCCTCTAATATCAAGAAGAAAGCCAAATGAGAGCGTATTACTTAATGTCATAAGTGAACCAGTCTTTCCAACATCCAAACCAAACAACAACCTGATCCTCTTTTCCTTGAAACAATTACTTTTGTATATGTGAGGTGAACCACTGCAGCTATGTACCCTGGCTTAACACCACGTTCCTTCCTCCAGTTGGTCTAAGGGACAGTCTGAAATCCATTCTCAACAGGCTGTTCTTTCTCTCCAACAAAAGAAGAAAATAAGAAAAAGGCAGGAAAGGAAAGGATAGAGCAGAAATAAATCACTCCTCCTGACATTCAGCTGCCAGGAGACTGATGTCTGGACAAGACTTCACATTGGAGCAGCCAGTGGTGGAAAAAATACCCAATTGTCATACAAAAGTAAAGAGACCTTAATAGAAAATGACTAGAGTAAAAATGAACGTCAGCCAGTAAAATACTACTTGAGTAAAAGTCTAAAAGTATTTGGTTTTAAATATACTTAAATATCAAAAGTAAATGTAATTGCTAAAATATACTTAAGTATCAAAAGTAAAAGTATAAATCATTTGAAATTACTTATATTAAGCAAACCAGACGGCGCCATTTTCTTGTTTTTTTAAATTTACGGATAGCCACGGCACTCCAACACTCAGACATCATTTACAAATGAAGCATTTGTGTTTAGTGAGTCTGCCAGATCAGAAACAGTAGGGATGACCAGGGATGTTCTCTTGATAAGTGTGTGAATTTGACCATTTTCCTGTCCTGCTAAGCATTCAATATGTAACGAGTACTTTTGGGTGTCAGGGAAAATGTATGGAGTAAAAAGTACATTATTTTCTTTAGGAATGTAGTGAAGTAAAAGTAAAAGTAGTCCAAAATATGAATAGTAAAGTAAAGATACCCCCAAAAACTACTTAAGTAGTACTTTCAAGTATTTTTACTTAAGTACTTTACACCACTGGGAGCAGCAGACAGACAGACAGGTTCACCCATGGCAACCATTAAAAAGTTTTCATCTTTTACATTTCCACCTTTCCCACTGACAGTGTAACACCCTTAACCACACAGCCCACAGCTAAGGCCTGCTCTATAAACATCTGTGACAGGCTGAGTACACTAGGCACTGCCACTGTGGCAACACACAGTAGGACCACTCCCTTACCCTCAGAGATGGGTTGGGTGTATTACAATAGTTTAACAAGATCTTGAATCCGTTTGATATTACCCAAAACAGCACCCTTGCCGCTGGTGAATTTTGACAGCTGTGGCTTAACACAAAATCACAAATAGTATGTCGTCTTTCTCACGGTCCCAAGCTTGTTGACAGTGGCCGACCCGCCTCCCCTCTGTCCCCCTGCACTCCATACAGTCCATGTACACACAGATAGAGAGGGAAAATAAACCATGAGGCCCATCAGAAACACACAGATACCACAACTCTAAATCAGTGGGGACCAAGACCAAGACTAACCATCAAACGTGGTATGCAAACACTCCACTTAAGATGAATGCAGTGTTAATAAGGAATGTTTTCCATAGTTGTTCTCTTCAACAGCAGAGGGCATATTCTACCAAACACACAGTACTCCCACTACAAATAGGTGTCCACGCTGTATCACAATGTCAATGTTGATGTGAATACAGCCTCTCCTTGACGGAACCTTTATCTTGTTTTAGTACAGTTTACTGTAAATAGAGCTATGAGTATAATGGCAAGTTTTTCTAGTTAATGAACACTGTGAAGCGAGACCAGTATCTACATGGCTCAATAATTGCAGCCCCATGGTCTGTTCAGGTTTCTTATTCACTCATCATAACATAGAGCAGAAAGCAGTCTCAGTTTCACGGTCTGATTTTTATTTGCAGAAGGAGCTGATCACTTTCAACAGAGCCAGTCTCCGGGGTTTGACATGTTCAAACAGGGAGTGATGGGGCACAGCTCTTAGAACCTCAGCCACATGCTAGACAGAGCTAGCGCTGCAGAGGAGAGGACTGATACCATGAGTATCACTTACACACTCAGTCCTGAGGGAAACACTCATGGGAAAAGATGAACTTGCAATAAAAACACCATCTCTGCCCAGAGCTGCCAGTCAACTCTCTAAGGCTGCGTGCCAAATGGCACCCTATTCCTTATATATTGCACAACTTTTGATCAGAGCTCATATTGGTAGTAGTGCACTACATAGGGAAAAGGGTGGTTTTTGGGACAATAGGGAAAAGGGTGCTATTTGGGACGCAGCCTAAAGCAGAAAGGAATGGCAGACCTTTACAGACTAGGTCATAACAAAACCATGTCCACTTAAGTTTAGAGGATCCTAACTTTGCTTTGTGATATTTTGCATTTGGGGTTATATAAGCATGTCAGATCAGGAATGGTTGGCCTGGGTCTGCCTGTGGCTGAGCATGCAGATTCCCAGGAAACTCTCAGGATAGACAGGCTTACTCTGTCAGACCCACAGGTGCAGGATGGAGAGTCCCAGTGTCAGCAGCACCATCCACCAGCCCAGACGGGCCCATTTCACCCTAGGACAAACACAGGCCCTGGCAGGAGCATCAGTACACCTGTTGCCTAACAGCTCCTAATGCTGAAGCATATATACTCTACATATTTTTCAGGGTGAGAATGATGAATGAATTTGTACATCGGGAGGGACCGGGGGAAAAAAGTGAGCGCAAGAGAGGGGTGACCTGGGGAGCTCTGATAGTTGCACACATGGGGAACATTTTTAGTAGCCTAGGGTCTAGGATTTTGTTGTTGTTGTGCCTTTTATAAATGCATTTCATGCAATTCTGCATCATTTTACATGACTGGAGACTTTGGCAGAATCTTTTTTAATATCTCACAAATGGTCGAAATGACAAGCTACTTTGACACTGACACACTGAGATCAATAAAAATGACCTTGTCTTGAATCCATCAATAGCCTAGGCCTAGGTGTGTGGAGACACACATATTGTAGGCTACAATATGAGGTTGAAATTATAGTCCTAAAAATGCTTTCCAGTTTCACTGACTCAATAACCCAATCATGCGCAACTCACATGCCGGTGATGGCCGATGTGTTTGTGCCAAAAGTCTATCTCTCTCTTGTTTTACTTTGTAAAACAATATTTGGAAGTTGATCAAATATTTTAGTAGCCTACAGCAGACAGATTAGAGTCAGGAGAATTAACGTTGAGGAAACTCAAATGAACTTTGATCGCTTTTATTAGGATCCGGCTCAAATTAAGCAATGATGAGAATGATGATTGAATTTGTGTGCATACTGCTCATTGGTGCATTTTGTGTGTGTGTATTATCTATACAGAGCTGAATCTTAATTGATGTATGCTCATAACTCAACTTCTCCCATTGACATCCCTGCTAAATGATGTAAATATAAAATAAGTAATGAATCAACCCTCAGTCCTCATCTAGCAGAATGTTTAGTATTCACATAGAGCTCCAATGTCTTTTCCCCACTTCCTCTCCATAAGGATCTCAAGTCCCCATCTCGGCCTAAGCTTGGACTCCCTGGTATGAACAGTTGCAGCGGAAGCTGTTGAAGAGTAAGATCAGGCTTCCCTTGGGCAACCCTACACATGGTCCTATTGAATCCAGTGCTTCTTGTGGGCAGCATTGTAGTGTGTGTATATATTAATAATAATAACAATAATAATTATGGGAAAGTCAGATGCTTGGCCTCTGGTTTCCCTCATCTGAGTTTCCCTCTTCAGTCTCACAGAAATCTTTGACATATGTTTCCACTGTGTTCATCCACTCCACCTTTGGGTGTTAGAAATACACACAGGGAACGAGTTAAGTTGTTGTAGGTTGTTTGGTGCGGTGCCAGCATTGCTCAGTGTGATACAACAGTGTTCAGGAGTAATAAGGGACTAAATAAACTGTTCAGCATGTTCCCAGATTAGAGCGGTACACTGTAGCTACCTCCAGTGGCTCACTTTAACAGCCTGGGGTTACAGATAGACTGCCATACACCATATTATACGGCTGCTGGAGTCTGGAGCAATGGGCTCTTCCTGAATCTACTGCAAACCCCAGTCATTTCAACAGGTGGTAGAAGAAAATTATGAATGGGGTGTGAATGGAGGATTTTAAACAAATAAAAATGCAATACATCTGGTGACTACCATGGGTTAGTTTGAAGTTTTCTGATATTACAGTGAGCGGTGTAAGGGGAAACTAGGTACAGAAAGCAGCCTTCCTTCTCCCCCTCAGACAAAAGAGCCTGATTAATTCACCATGACCATGAGAAAAGCTTTCAGAGGCGGTCTTTTGCTCTGCCTCTGCACCCCCCGCTCTTTCGTTCTCCCCGTTTCTCCCTCTCTTACCCTCTAGCTTTCTCCCTCTCTCCCTCTCTTACCCACTAGCTTTCTCCCTCTCTCCCTCTCTCCCACTCATACACACACTACCTACCCCCAACCCCCTGTCTCTTCTACTGTTGGCCTCTCATCAAATACAATAGAAACATTGACTTATTAAAGCACTTCAGTAATCGGAAACTACCTCCATGCTCTCAGATTGGCCCAAAAAAAGAGAAGCGATTCAATCACCTCTACACCCACAGGCTAGGCTGAAAATGGGAAGGTTAAGACAACAAAGTAATTCCATGCGGAAGCGTTCGAAAATAAACAGATTAATGGGATCAGCTCCATTGATATCTACTAGCGCCGTTGCTAACTAGCAATGCTGGTCCCATGAATTGCAAAGAGTTATGGGATATTAGAATCCTCTTGTCTTAACCTGTATATTTTGAACCTAGCCCACAGGCAAGCCCTAACAATAGAATGGCAGGGAAAGTTTAGACCCGCCCATTTAGACTCACAGGCAGATCAAACAAGCCTAAACTCTCTCTGTGGTGGTAACCCTTCTCTCCCTAGACCCATAATAACTGGAAGATGATGTTTACATTATGAGCACTGCAGCAATCCCAGCACAGAGCCTTCAGGTAAATCTGGTTAAGCAATTACAGACTGATGTAACCGATGATGAATTTATGTAATTAGGCATCAACGTTGTTATTACAGCAGCCATTTGCTGGTTAATCAGCATCAGTTCTGAGTAACTGTCTGTCTGGCTGTTTGATTTCACAGATAAGCAGCAACATGTCTGATATAAAGCATTTTGAAAACGTTTCGGTGAGACATACCAAGACGCTTTCTTTAGGCAAACGACCCGTTGTGACCCCTTAAACAAGTCACACACAGCCTACAGTACAAATAAAGGGTTAACGCAACAGTACACGTAGTCCCGTGTAGCTTAGTTGGTAGTGCATTGCGCTTGCAATGCCAGGATTGTGGGTTCGATTCCCACGGGGGGCCAGTATGAAAAAAATATGACTGTAAGTCGCTCTGGATAAGAGCGTCTGCTAAATGACTAAAATGTACATGTAACCCCGTAGGCTCAGCCCTAATTTACTGGCCCCATGGCAAATGGCCCAGAACAATGCCTAAGGGTCAGTAGTGCCTTATAACATAAGCTTTATACCTTGTATGTAATTTGATATTCGCTTCTCATGACCATTTGTTGATCTTAGTCGGCTAAACGCATTATACTTGATTGCACATGGTTTTACCATAATATCAAAAAAAGTCAGATAAACATTAAAAAAAAACCTAAGGTTGACGTGTAATTAGCATATTCGAATTAGCATATTATTAATAATAAAAAACAAACAATTGTCAGTTTAAGCTAGAGATATCTGTTTGTTTGCATTGGATGCGTCTCAATCCACCGCATCCATCTATGTCGCACTTCCGCATCTGCAATGAAAGGTGACAGAGCTAGAGCTGGGTTTTTCAGACCATGAGACATCCTGAAAATCGGTCTTCTCACAAAATCGTCTGTTGCGTCCGAACGGTTTGGCCTACAAACCTCTGTGGAAAGATGAGACTCTCACGAACACGATGGTGTTCTCCATTTTGCTCTACTTGTCACACCCTGATCTGTTTCACCTGTCTTTGTGATTGTCTCCACCCCCTCCAGGTGTCGCCCATCTTCCCCATTTTCCCCAGGGTATTTATACATGTGTTCTCTGTTTGTCTGTTGCCAGTTCGTTTTGTTTCGTTAAGCCTACCAGCGGTTTTCCCCTTGCTCCTGTCTTTCTCAAGTTCCTGTTTTCTAGTTTTCCCGGTTTTGACCATTCTGCCTGCCCTGACCCAAAGCCTGCCTGCCATTCTGTACCTTTTGGACTCTGTTCTGGATTACTGACCTCTGCCTGCCCTTGACCTGTCGTTTGCCTGCCCCCTGTTTTTGTAATAAACTTTTGTTACTTCGACACTGTCTGCATCTGGGTCATCTCCTGAAACATGATACAACTGTATATATGGCCCGTTGTTTAGTGCCAAAAATTAGGGGTTAATAAATACATGTAAAAAAATAAAATATGTTTGCTGATCTTTCTTATTTCTCTCAGATATAGGACAGACATTTCAGAACAAACATCCTTTTATTTTTTGGGGGGGCCTATCTGTTGTTCCATGTAGTGAATCTGTTATTCAATGCGTTTGTATGGGCTAACAGCAGTAAGGCCAAATAAAAATGTTAATCAAATCATATTTTAATATATAAGGGGTCTCAAAATTCTAAATCAAATAGCAAAATGATCCTTGGTATGACCTTCTTAAAACAATTCCATATAGCTTAGTAGAACCCCCTCGGCTTAGACAGGACTTAGACTGTTTAGCGCCAACAATAAGAGGTTAAATACATGTAAAAAAAAAAACTACAATAATAATAATAATAATAATAATAATAAACATCTGATTTTTGGGGGGGACCATCTGTTGTTCCATGTAGTGAATCTGTTATTCAATGCATTTGTATGGGCTAATAGCAGTAAGGCCAAAAATCATTTTAGCTTTTTTTGTCATACCCATGGTATACGGTCTGATATACCCCTGCTTTCAGCCAATCAGCATTCAGGGCTCGAACCATCTGGTTTAAAAATAATACTTATATATCAAATATTACCACAGTACAACCCAGTGTTGACACATTCCCTAACATGGCCTGTTTGGTGTTTTCCCTCCCTCAGACCCTTCTCCTATTGGATATACATTACACCCAGTCATACATCATGTTGTGTTGGAAGGGAATTCTGGGATTGGATTGTGTTCTCTGTCTCCAGCGGGACCAGACCCTTTTACCTGTGAAGTCAGTAGAGGGTCTCTCCCTTCTCCCCAACACGGCCCAATGACGCCCAGAGTGGCTCCTTGAATCCTGTTTTCAATGGGAACTGAGACACAGGGGGTCTGGTCCGTTTTCTGGGGCGCGCTGATTGTGTTGATACAAAGCAGGTTTTATGATATTCAAAAAAGTCATAGTGTATGGTTTTCAATGAAGTTATAATATTGAGCAGGGCTGTAGTACTGTAGTCTGTTCAGACTCATGGTGCTGATTTTCAGTGTTGTTAACTAACAGTACCTCAGACACAGACTATTCGATCCAGCTCTCAAGTCCTTGCTGCTGTTCACGAGAGCCCTTAGAAATGGGTGACTGATTAACAAACTATCTTTGGGTGATGTGCCAACTGACATGAACCCGGGAGTCGTTGTCGTTGTCTCAAACGGCGGAGTGACGACAAAAACAGCTTTTTCGGAGTCCCCCTGGGTGGAGAGAGGGCTGTAGTGAACAGGCCAGGCAGGGACCAGGGAATGAACATGGCGCCATCAGTCATACAGTGACAGTGAAGCCATAGATCAGAGGGGAGAGTCGCTGCACACAGGAAGTACATTCCTTCCCCTCACAGTCACTGCCCCCACTGATGTTTGTTTAAACTGTCCTCTGATATGTAGAGATTACCGTTCAACACAAACCTGCCCCCCTCTAACAGAGCCCCTCAGCCCAGAGTGCTGTGCTATAGCCAGGGGCAGATTGCTGTGCCTGCCTGGTGGGACTCTGGCTCCTTGGAGACCCCTAGCTCCATGTTATCGGCCCCACCCCACCCTGCCTGCTGTGGTTGGACAGTGGCCCCCGGCAGAGAGATGACCCACTTCTGGAACCACATCAGTTGTGAGTCCATGCAGGGAGAGTTCCATTACTCCATGATGGTAGGTGCGGTCCAAGATGGCTACACCGATTAATTTAACAGTTCTAACCCTGTCCCCGCATGCTAAACCCGTTAAGCACCAACTGACAAAGCCACAGTAGAAGGCTGCTATTTTCCGTGCAGATCGGGTGAATGGCAAGTAGCTCGACTGAGGAATTAAATCTGGCATCAACAGTTAGGGTGAGCCAGAGTGCACTGGCAGAGTGGCAGGGCAATCCCCACTATTGTAACTGTTATACATACTATGTAAATAATCTCTCTTTGAAGTTAGTCCGTTCTTTAAAGTTCAGGATATGTCATCTCTGTGAGAGGAAATGCACCAAGACATGTGAAACAGTGTTATGATGACGGTATCATAGTCAGTCTGTACTTTACAGCCATGTGTCCAGAAAGATACAGATAGAGGAACCCTGAGCTCAGCAATGAGGTGGGTCTGAGAATACCTTTTTAAATTGAACAAATCCAGTCAGGCCTCTGTGTGAACGTAAACAGAAAAGGGAAAATGTACAAGAGCATGCGATAAAATCCCTCTCATTTAAGGCAGATGTTATTGTAATGGAGTTAGAATAGGTGGATTCACTGCAGAAAAAGACAGTGGACTTCAGCGATAAATGAGGAGGGATATTATTGCTAACATACAATGTAATCCTAGACAGCAATTTATCTCACTCCTAGCCACCATGTGTGAGAAGGATGAAGTATTCTAGGAACTATTTTTACCATTTATAGCCTAATGTCAGAGGGTTAAGATCTTTGTCGGGCGATAACCTTACACTAAAATATGAGCAGGCCTTCAGAGCTCTACGTATCAGATTTATCTGTAAATACTGTAGTTTCAATCATTATTTAAAAATGACAACAGCGTTTCAGAACTACCTAAACAAAATACTTCCTCTAAAGGTATTATTGAGCATTTCACTTGGCACAAGTAACTATCATCTAACATCTACAAGTTTCAACAACCCCCACCTGCCTCTAACAAGGCATGACCATTAGTCAGGTACAGCTTCCCATGAGAAGGTGATTCAGTTCTCTCTCCATCTTTACTTATCACTAGAAGGGTTACTAACAATAAGAGTCTGGCCGCTCACCTGAGTTTATCAGCCACAAAGATGACTCTGCGCTCCAGCAGCAGGGAGGCGAAGACCTGCACCACCTGACGCACACTCAGGCAGCTGAAGAGACTGTCAAAGTCTACATGCTCCAGTCTGGAGTCCATGGGCCGCCTCAGCTCAATGACCTGGGGAGGAGAACACCACCTGGGGTCACAACCTGGGGTCACAACCAGTCATACATTCACAGAGGTCACAGGTCATGCTCAATTAAGCATACATCTCATTATCTTCATGCATCATCCTTCTTTGCTGGAACCTTAGTAACCAAGGGCTGATGTGTCTCTAACCTCATTCCCTGCTCCAGGCAGGAAGGTCTTGACTTTGATGGTCTTCCCCGGCGCTGGGAAGGGTGACTCCATCAGACTCCTCATGAAGGGGTAGACTAGGGCTGCAGAGATCCCCCTCCGCCTCTCCACCTCATCCAGGATCTACACACAGCACAGGACAGGGGGTTGAGAGTTAGACCACACTGCAGACACAACACTCAATTTTTTAAACAGAATGTCCCAAATTCCCTTTATTTTTTTATTTAACTAGGCAAGTCAGTTAAGAACAAATTCTTATTTAGAATGGATTGTGATACAGCCTGGAATCGAATCAGAGTCTGTAGTGACGCCTCTAGCACTGCGATGGACCGCTGCGCCACTCGGGAGCCCCAATATAGTGCCTTAAGGACCGTGGTCATACTTACAAAGCATGTAGAGGTCTGTAATTTTTATCATAGGTACACTTCAACTGTGAGAGACGGAATCTAAAACAAAAATCCAGAAAATCACATTGTATGATTTTTAAGTAATTAATTTGCATTTTATTGCATGACATAAGTATTTGATACATCAGAAAAGCAGAACTTAATATTTGGTACAGAAACCTTTGTTTGCAATTACAGAGATCATACGTTTCCTGTAGGTCTTGACCAGGTTTGCACACACTGCAGCAGGGATTTTGGCCCACTCCTCCATACAAACCTTCTCCAGATCCTTCAGGTTTTGGGGCTGTCGCTGGGCAATACGGACTTTCAGCTCCCTCCAAAGATTTTCTATTGGGTTCAGGTCTGGAGACTGGCTAGGCCACTCCAGGACCTTGAGATGCTTCTTACGGAGCCACTCCTTAGTTGCCCTGGCTGTGTGTTTCGGGTCGTTGTCATGCTGGAAGACCCAGCCACGACCCATCTTCAATGCTCTTACTGAGGGAAGGAAGTTGTTGGCCAAGATCTCGCGATACATGGCCCCATCCATCCTCCCCTCAATACGGTGCAGCCGTCCTGTCCCCTTTGCAGAAAAGCATCCCCAAAGAATGATGTTTTCACCTCCATGCTTCACGGTTGGGATGGTGTTCTTGGGGTTGTACTCATCCTTCTTCTTCCTCCAAACACGGCGAGTGGAGTTTAGACCAAAAAGCTCTATTTTTGTCTCATCAGACCACATTACCTTCTCCCATTCCTCCTCTGGATCATCCAGATGGTCATTGGCAAACTTCAGACGGGCCTGGACATGCGCTGGCTTGAGTAGGGGGACCTTGCGTGCGCTGCAGGATTTTAATCCATGACGGCGTAGTGTGTTACTAATGGTTTTCTTTGAGACTGTGGTCCCAGCTCTCTTCAGGTCATTGACCAGGTGCTGCCGTGTAGTTCTGGGCTGATCCCTCACCTTCCTCATGATCATTGACGCCCCACAAGGTGAGATCTTGCATGGAGCCCCAGACCGAGGGTGATTGACCGTCATCTTGAACTTCTTCCATTTTCTAATAATTGCGCCAACAGTTGTTGCCTTCTCACCAAGCTGCTTGCCTATTGTTCTGTAGCCCATCCCAGCCTTGTGCAGGTCTACAATTTTATCCCTGATGTCCTTACACAGCTCTCTGGTCTTGGCCATTGTGGAGAGGTTGGAGTCTGTTTGATTGAGTGTGTGGACAGGTGTCTTTTATACAGGTAACGAGTTCAAACAGGTGCAGTTAATACAGGTAATGAAGGAGAACAGGAGGGCTTCTTAAAGAAAAACTAACAGGTCTGTGAGAGCCGGAATTCTTACTGGTTGGTAGGTGATCAAATACTTATGTCATGCAATAAAATGCAAATGAATTACTTAAAAATCTAACAATGTGATTTTCTGGATTTTTGTTTTAGATTCCGTCTCTCACAGTTGAAGTGTACCTATGATAAGAATTACAGACCTCTACAAGCTTAGGTGCACTGAGATTGAGAGTCCTAATAGACCAAGACCAGTACCTTCAATCAGTATGGCCAGTGAAGATAGAATGGAAATGGTAGCGTGTTGCTGTCTGAAGGAAAGCTCCTGCTAATGTCTGGAACCAGGCTACCTTTGCTCCTTTTGACAAATACAGTATGAATTTCTTTCTGTGGCTGTCTGATATGTGTGGAAAAGGGCAAAGGAAAATCCCACCCAATATGCCCATGTGTTTGTCTGTTTCAGACCTGCCTACTCCTGTCTGGAAAGTCTGTTGGAGAGAGACACACACTCACATTAAGGGTCATATGATATCACCTCCACTCCCCACACACCCTCTGTTCCCGGTGAAATCAAACACTCCCGTCTTTCTCGCCTTAACTAGAAAAGCACTTCAAACTCCTTGGAAAACATTTCCTCTCTCACCTACGCAGCTCTCAAGCCCTCAAAACGGTGCCTTCTGAAACCTACACCCTGCCATCTGTATGAGGGCTGTTCAACCCTCACTGTTGAGGTGCCCGTGCTGTCACAAGACAGAAACAATCTATTGTATTTATGCATCCTTTTAGCCCTAAATGAATATGAAATGAAACTCACGGACAGTTTTTGGCACATTTTAGCACTCACGACACAGTAATAAAAAGTTATTTCCATTCATTAGATACGTCTACTACCTCTTAACTGTTTCCCTTAACACGGGCCTTATTCACTTCAAATACACTCTTCATAGAGGATTCATGAGGAGGCAGATAAGGCATGGAGAACTTAAACACAATGAGCACTCTGTTTCATGTTATCTCAACTCAGGAACAAGTGAAGGAAACAATTTAACTGGGAAATCAGGTTTATGCTGAACAGGATGCCTTTGAGTGGAAATGCTGGCACAGCCTCAACTAGCTCACTCCTGGGAACACTGGCCTCGGCTCGACTCAGAGACAGGTAACCGCAACAATGGCTAAACTAGGGTGTGTGTGTGTGTGTGTGTTTGTGTGTAAGCATGAACTCACCTTAGAGAACAGGTGGAAACAGCCCAGTCGGCTGATGACGCAGTACACCTCAGGAAGGCGAGGCCCTTTCCCACTTGGCTGGAACAGGGGCACAAATTAAGAGTCGTCAGTCACTGGGGAAGAGAGGCTTATAAGGTGACACAGACAGTAATATGGCAATAGATACTAAGATAAATAGAAAGGGGCTTGGTTAGGTTTATATGCAACATCAATGAGAATATACTGTAACAGTATCATACACACAAACATGATAAAGCCAACAGCTTAAGTTGACCAAAGCTATGTGGTGTACTTGCTTTTATTCAGATAAAGCACCAGGTTAGTTCACAATCAGCTTTGGTTGACTAAATATTTATAGATTTGTCCTTTCTGCTGCTGGTGGACGTCTTTAATCTGGAGAGACTGAGGCTTCCCATTGTAAACTAAACACAGGTGCTGCAGTCTCTACACAGTTAATGATCACCCCTACCCTCCACACTAAACAATCACACACCAGTCTACTCTGGAGCCAACCAGGCCTCCTGGATCTATCCATCTCCAAACACACACACACACACACACACACACACACACACAAATTAACACGTGCATACATATAAAGAAATCCCGATCCACTTGTCCATATTAGGTATGCAATTTTCTCCTCTGCTTTCTCCAAATGGATGATTAAATCAAGCATGTGGAGCTTGGTTAAAGTCCTTAGGAATGCGTTGCTCATGCCAGCTCCTTAGACTTCCACCAGGGAAGGAAGGAGCTGGGTTACCGGAGAGGAGAAAAGTAACCTCACACTCTCTCACAGCATCAGGAGTCGTCTGATCTACAGCTACTTAATGTCAGCAACTACTGAGCTCAATACAATCAAGAAACAGCCACAACTGAATTTAAGAATCTACGTGACACATAAATACAGTAGGCTACTAAAACACACTGACAAACCCTACAAAACATACACACTGTGTGAATGTACACATTCTTGGGCATAACAGTGACATAAAAAAATCACAGCAAGCACAACATCCCACACAGCCATACGTTCTGAACTCAAGCCAAATGTGGGCTCATTATAAAACATCAAAGGACTAGCAACCCTTACTGGCGGGTTGTGCTCTACAATGACAAACTTAGACATTTCATGGTTTGTTTTTCGTCATTCTTCTCCTGAGAAACTCTCATGAAACAGAAGGAGTCCAGTTTAACTAGGATTCATCCCGACCGTGTTGAAAGGCAAAAACAACCAAGCTTTGTTACATACGGCCATTAAAATTCACTTTATTTACTTTCTCTCCTACTCACACCCAGCTTGGTGACGCAATAACTCCTCAATGGTCCCACAGGAAAAAAACATCAGTTGTTCAGATAAAAAAAACCTTGTCAAAACAAACAGGGCTGGCTCAGCAGGGTGTGAACAGAACAGGGACCAGCGAACTAATGGTGGCTTACTTACCAGCAGACGCCTGCAGTACCCAAACCTCCTGCTGCCATCCTCTCCAGTCAACATGAACGAGAAGGTCTCACTGTACCGAGAAACACAAACACACACACACACACACACACACACACACACACACACACACACACACACACACACACACACACACACACACACACACACACACACACACACAGACACAGACAGACACACAAGTCTCTATTATAGTCAAACCAGCATTCAGATTGTAGAGACTGAACAGTGATCAAAGGAAACATAGTGTTGGATCTCATTCCCACTTTAGGGTTGGTGAAGTAGTACAGTCTCTGTGGCAGAGAGAGAAGACTGTTTTAGGGACCCACGTTGTCAGGAGTAGGAGTGAGAGTAAGAGTCTACCAGGAATTCATGGAGATAATGGCATTAAATCTCTGTGTTTTCTTCCTAATTTTACTCGTTGATATTTACACGTCTAATCATACTATCGATTTGGTAGTTTTTAAAAACTTTAATCTATATATGAAACACTTGTGCATCCCAACTGATTAGTGCCCATCTGGTTGTAGCAAGGAATGGGACTAATAGGCCAACAGTGTGGTGGTGAGCTTTCCTCAGTGATGCAGTGGGGTTGTATAGTAACCCATACTGTACCTGCTGTATTCAGACACTGGGGTCCAGTCCTTGGCATCTGGAAAGCAGAATTGGGGGATGGCTTTGAGTCTCTGCTCTGCCTCCCTCATCAGCTTGGTGGGCCTCTCTAGCTGTGAGACGAGACGAGAAAGGAACAGGAAACGCCTCAGTCAGAAACAGACCCAGACGCTTACAGTCTACTGAGTGTCCTCTTTACAGGGTCCCCAAAAACCTCCCCTATAGTACGAATAAATTACCAGCCTAAGCATTCTCCCACACAGGGTCAGCGCCTCCTCCCCTTATCATTACCACCAACCCCCCTCTCCCCCCCGACGTCATTGGGTCAGGCTTTTCTCTGGCAGAGAACCAACATACCGACATCTCTCAGGGGATTCTATCACTGAACCAAATCTTAAATAACTTAAAAAGAGATCTTTGAGTAAGTAAACGCTTAAGTACCATAGAAACCGTTTCCTGGTTACACCACTTACTGTCAATAAACTCCCAAAACTCCCTCAACTCGTATGTTACGGCCATGACCCTACTCTTCCGCAATCTCTGCATCTACAGTGCCTTCAGAAAGTATTACATTTTTACATTTTACATTTTAGTCATTTAGCAGACGCTCTTATCCAGAGCGACTTACAGTTAGTGAGTGCATACATTATTTTTATTTTTTTTCATACTGGCCCCCCGTGGGAATCAAACCCACAACCCTGGCGTTGCAAACGCCATGCTCTACCAACTGAGCTACATCCCTGCCGGCCATTCCCTCCCCTACCCTGGATGATGCTGGGCCAATTGTGCGCCGCCCCATGGGTCTCCCGGTCGCGGCCGGCTACGACAGAGCCTGGATACGAACTAGGATCTCTAGTGGCACAGCTTGCACTGCGATGCAGTGCCATAGACCACTGCGCCACTCGGGAGACTATTCACACTCCTTGACTTTTTCCACATTTTGTTGTGTTACAGCTTCAATTTAAGAGAATTTGTGTCACTGGCCTCCACATAATACCACATAATGTCAAAGTGGAATTATGTTTTTAGAAATGTTTACAAATTAATTAAAATGAAAAGCTGAAATGTCTTGATTCAATAAGTATTCAACCTCTTTGTTATGGCAAGTCTAAACCAGTTAAGGAGTAACAAGTCACATAAGTTGCATGGACAGAAATGTTGTTTAACAGGATTTTTGAATGACTACCTCATCTCTGTACCACACATTCGATTATCTGTAAGGTCCCTCAGTCGAGCAGTGAATTTCAAACACAGATTCAACCACAAAGACCAGGGAGGTTTTCAAATGCTTCGTAAAGAAGGGCACCTATTGGTAGATGGGTAAAAAAAAACGAACAGACATTGAATATCCCTTTGAGCATGGTGATGTTATTAATTACACTTTGGATGGTGTATCAATACACCCAGTCACTATAGTCCTTCCTAACTCAGTTGCCAGAGAGGAAGGAAACCGCTCAGGGATTTCACCATGAGAACAATAGTGACATTAAAACAGTTCCAGTTTAATGGCTGTGATAGGAGAAAACTGAGGATGGATCAACAACACTGTAGTTACTCCACAATACTAACCTAAATGAAGGAAAGAAGAGAAGAAAAGAAGGAAGCCTGTACAGAATCAACATATTCCAAAACATGCATCCTGTTTGCAATAAGGCACTAAAGTAAAATGGCAAATCATGTGACAAAGACATTCACTTTATGTCCTGAATACAAAGTGTTATGTTTGGGGTAAATCCAGCACAACACATCACTGAGGACCACTCTTCATATTTTCAAGCATGGTGGTGGCTGCATCATGTTATGGGTATACTTGTTATCGTCAAGGACTACAGAGTTTTTTTTAGGATAAAAATAAACAGAATAGAGTTAAGCACAGGCAAAATCCTAGAGGAAAACCTGGTTCAGTCTGCTTTCCAACAGATACTGGGAGTCAAATTCACCTTTCAGCAGGACAATAACCTAAAACACAAGGCCAAATATACACTGGAGTTGATAACCAAGACAACATTGAATGTTCCTGAGTGGCCTAGTTACAGTTTTGACTTAAAATCGGCATGAAAATCTATGACAAGACTTGAAAATGGCTGTCTAGAAATGATCAACAACCAACTTGACAGCTTGAATAAAAAATAAATAATGTGCAAATATTGTACAATCCAGGTGTGCAAAGCTCTTAGAGACTTACCCAGAAAGACTCAGCTGTAATCGCTGCCATAGGTGATTATAACATGCATTGACTCAGGGGTGTGAATTTCTATCTAAATGAGATATTTTGGTATGCCATTTTTTTTTATGTGCTAAAATTTCAAAAAACATGTTTTCACTTTGTCAATATGGGGTATTGGGTGTAGATGGGTGAGATTTGTTTGTTTAAATTAATTTTGAATTCAGGCAGTAACACAACAAAATGTGGAATAAGTCAAGGGTACGTAGCCGGCCGCGACCGGGAGACCCATGGGGTGTCGCACAATTGGCCCAGCGTCATCCAGGGTAGGGGAGGGAATGGTGTAACTGAGTCAGGTTTGTAGGCCTACTTGCTCGCACACGCTTTTTCAGTTCTGCCCACACATTTCTATAGGATTGAGGTCAGGGCTTTGTGATGGCCACTCAAATACCTTGACTTTGTTGTCCTTAAGCCATTTTGCCACAACTTTGGAAGTATGCTTGGGGTCATTGTCCATTTAGAAGACCCATTTGCGACCAAGCATTAACTTCCTGACGGATGTCTTGAGATGTTGCAATATATCCACATAATTTTCCTTCCTCATGATGCCATCTATTTTGTGAAGTGCACCAGTCCCTCCTGCAGCAAAGCACCCCCACAGCATGATGCTGCCACCCCCGTGCTTCACGGTTGGGATGGTGTTCTTCGGCTTGCAAGCTACCCCCTTTTTCCTCCAAACATAACGATGGTCATTATGGCCAAACAGTTCCATTTTTGTTTCATCAGACCAGAGGACATTTCTCCAAAAAGTACAATCTTTGTCCCCATGTGCAGTTGCAAACCGTAGTCTGGCTTTTTTATGGAGGTTTTGGATCAGTGGCTTCTTCCTTGCTGAGTGGCCTTTCAGGTTATGTCGATATAGGACTCGTTTTACTGTGGATATAGATACTTTGTACCTGTTTCCTCCAGCATCTTCACAAGGTCCTTTGCTGTTGTTCTGGAATTGATTTGCACTTTTCGCACCAAAGCACGATCATCTCTAGGAGACAGAACGCGTCTCCTTCCTGAGCAGTATGATGGCTGCGTGGTCCCATGGTGTTTATACTTGCATACTATTGTTTGTACAGATGAATGTGGTACCTTCAGGCGTTTGGAAATTGCTCCCAAGGATGAACCAGGCTTGTGGAGGTCTACAAAAAAAATCCTGAGGTGATTTCTTTTGATATTCCCATAATGTCAAGCAAAGAGGCACTGAGTTTCAAGGTAGGCCTTGAAATACATCCACAGGTACACCTCCAATTGACTCAAATTATGTCAATTAGCCTATCAGAAGCTTCTAAAGCCATGACATCATTTTCTGGAAATGTACAAGCTGTTTAAAAAGGCACAGTCAACTTAGTGTATGTAAACTTCTGACCCACTGGAATTGTGATACAGTGAACTAAAAGTGAAATAATCTGCCTGTAAACAATTATTGGAAAAATTACTTGTGCCATGCACAAAGTAGATGTCCTAACCGACTTGCCAAAACTATAGTTTGTTAACAAGAAATTTGTGGAGTGGTTGAAAAACGAGTTTTAATGACTCCAACCTAAGTGTATGTAACTTCCGACTTCAACTGTATCAGCGCTCTCAGCATACATACTTCTGTAGGTCCAGTGAGTAATGTCTCAGAAGAGTTATCTACGAGGACCCCTTTCCTGTTTAAATCCTCTCTCTCTCACTTAAAAAGGGACTTGACAATGCTGTCTGACCCATGACCAAGGGGCCAGAATACAGTTTGGGTTGTTCCCTTACCTTGGGGAACTGGTAGGTGACTTCGGGGGAGAAGGAGTTCTTGGTAGGCTTCTTCTTGAGGGACACCACCACAAAGTACTCAAACAGCTCCCTTTCCTGCCACTCAATCAGCTGTAGCTCCAGTGTGCGGTAGCTAGGGGCCCGCCGCAGCATTGACTGTAGCTTCAGCAGCCTTTGGGTGTGAGCTGGGGAGAGAAGAGAGAGGGATATGGACAGTTCAACCATCAGTACAGGGTTGTATTGACACAATGCATAGCCCAAACACTGTGTACTACACACAACTGACAGAACTCACAGCTAATAGTGCAATACAAGCCCTGCAGTCTGACAAAGAGCTTACAGTCCAAACATTATTGGAACATATTTAGTCAAGCATGATGTTTCCAAAACGCTGTTACAATGTAAAAGGAAAATGAAATCAAACATTGTAGGAACTTCCCCCTGAAAACTTTGCCAGGCTGTTCCTGGCATGTAAAAAAAAAAACATTCACGAAATGCTTTAAAAACCAAACAAATGGAGGTTAAATGATTGTTATCTCTAACCTACCAAAAGCATTCTGGGAACCAAAACTTAACTGGATTTAAAACGTTAGATGGGTTTCCACACACTGATTAAACCTCTTTACTCACACATGTTTATCCTCACACAGTCCAACACATAACAACCTAAACACAGATTAGAGAGAAATACAAACCTTATAGTTCACCATAACTGTCATCACAGATGGCTTGTGTTTAAAACAGAGTGAGAACAGAATCAGCAAAGAGTTCGGACACAGTGCATTTAAGAATTATTCGAACGAATGACTTTGTATAGTCTATAGCAAATCCATTACATCTTGCCTTTCAGTTACATTTCTGTGGTCCCTTTGGTCACAAGTCACTTGATCGATGTCTCGTTCCAAACACCGACTTGTCAAAACTAACAGAGACGTGCGCTTGTTGTATCTGCTGTGAGTGAAACAAATCCATGCACCATTGCCCTCCAGGGACTGAGCTTCAACTGCATACTGTGACCTCTCACCTTTGAACCTGTCATCAGAGTCGCTCTCGCTCTCGCTGTTGTCATCTGTAAACAGATCGGAGAGAGAAAAAAAGGTTTGTTTAGGGTCAGGGGTCAACTCTACAACTATATGTTTATGCCATACAGATGAGATGACTGGGACACTGTGTGGGTGGCGGAGACACAAATATTTACTCCCTGTTCCAGACAGTGGATGGAGAGAAGGAAGGGATGAGCCCTACGTACCTCTCAGAGATGCCGTCTCAATATTAGACAAGGTCAGCTTCTTAAGCCTCTTCTTCCCTCGCTTGGTACAGTAAATGGAGTTGATTCTCTGGACCATCTGTAAACAGTGAGAGGAAAGGGGAAGCTCAGTGTGTGTACCACCTACAGTATAGGACTATCTGATCTCCTGTGGTGAAGCTCTTCAAAGTTGGTTCCATTTGAGTGTGTGGGAGGAGGAAGAGATTGACATAAAATCCTTCTCAGTTCTCTCTCTCCATGTCCAGAAATATCACTGGGATATGGTTTGTGTTTAAAACAGAGTATGAAGAGAATCAGCAAAGAGTTCGGACACAGTGCATTTAGGAATTATTCGAAAGAATGACATTTGTGTAGTCTATAGCAAATCCATTACATCTCCATTTTGCCTTTCAGTTAGATGCATGGCCCCGTAGATACATGGCTTGCAAAAAACGTTAAACAAAAGAGCTCCATTCCAGAATAGTCCTTGAGGAGATCCTCATGGAGAGAACAGGTTCATTCCTACAGCCTGGAGTGTTTTATATTGTACCTTGGGGATCCTCCGGTGTCTACGGGAGGCCAGGGTGTCGCTGGCGCTGCTCAAGCCGTCATCCAGCAGACAGCAGGGGGAGGGAGAGACCCCCAGCTGGGGCGGCAGCATGTCATCATGGCTGTGGCGCTTGGACAGGCGGGACGCCCGGTGACTCTTCTTGTCTGTGGGACCAGAGAGGCGCAGGGAAAGGCTACTGGGCTTAGAGGGCAGCTGTGGAGGGGGAGAGAGAGGACAATACTGAGGCTGTGTCTCAGATGGTACCCTATTCCCTTTATAGTGCACTACTTCTGACCAGGGCCCATAGGATGAAGCAATGGATCCTGGTTTGGTCTGGGATTGACTGAGGTTTTTGTCATGACAATAAGTAACCATACCGAATAATACAATATATTTTCCTCACCGCACAGTGACCTCATTCCCAGTTGAACACAAGGAAATTCTAAATCATCTTTCCTACGACGAGACAGTGCCCATCCATATTAAAGCAGCAGAGCCAAACCTACATTTCCAGGCAGACAGACAGTATTTTACTGGAACTCCAAATGGTTTCAACACATCAAAAGGCTTCTGTAGCGCAACTAATGAGAAATCTAGCTGTGAAACAAGATTATTGGAGGATCCTGTCCAGGTTTCAGAGATCTAACTCTAGTCTGAGGGAGAATTTTACCGCAGGAAAATACATCAGTTCTGCTAGCTAGCTGGGTTACCTGAGGAGGTGAGTTGAGTTTCTGGGAGCTCCAGGTCCGGTTGCTTTCCGGTACCAAGCGGTTCTTCCGACCCAAACTCCTCCTCTTCAGGTCCACGTCCTCGTACGGGTTCTCCTTCTCTGTGTGACGACATTAAGAAAACAGATTAAGGTCTAAGATAACAGCAGCAGCTGTTCAGAAGGATCTGTTAAGGTTCAGGGAGAAGGAAGGTATTTGACTAGACAAGACACAGCCAGAGAGGCTTCAGGCCAGGGTCTGTGTGAGATGACGGGGGGCAAGAGAGGGAATTGGAGAGGCTCCCTGTGGTGTAGCTCAGATCAGATAGGTCATGCAGGGGCCAGGTTAAAAATCACTCTCAACTGGCTGCTACAATGCCCAAATGTACTGTCTCTTTAAACAGTTACTGTTGGCCCAGGGCCCCGGCGGCCCTGCTGGCCCCTGACCGACTGCACTGTGCCGAGACTCCCGGACACTGGGCTGCTGGTGGTGAGTCATGGCCGGAGTATGCAGGCTGTCTGCTGCGGGAGGGGGAGGGGAGGGGAGGGGGGAGGAGGGGGGCATCTTCCTCCTCCTCTCAGGTATCACAGAACTTCATTCTCACATCCTTTCAATGAGACTGTAGATGTAGAAATGTTCACTCAACACTTCAGAGGTGTTGCGCAAAGAGTGTGGGTTTTGGGTTTTCCCACTAAACACTGACTGACTGGCATACAATCAATAACTGATAAGAGAAATGGAAAAATGGGAATCTCACACAGTACTGCTTTCACTGATGTCACTTGGAAAAGGGCCAGTCCAGCTTGTATAAAAACTTGTGTAACACCCCTTCCCATGTCCATCCAGACATGTGCTCTGAGAATAGCATTTTGGCTGGGTCTGAAAAGGTTGTGAGAAAATGAAGGAACTGCACTAAAAACGAAAACAGAGCCAGATGGTGTCGAAAGGCATGAGGGAAAAGACTTGCAGTGAAAGACGAGCATGAGTCTTACAACAGAGCTAGTGTCTGTCAAAAGAGACTAAATCTACACTTCAGCATGAATGTCTGAGATTCTTTCCATCTCAATATGATGGAAGAGAATCCTATGAACTGGAGGAACACCTTGAAGGCCAAAGTTAAACTGTGCTAAAGGTATCTGTTTTGATAAAAGGGGTTCATCATTTATAGCCTATTTATGAACCATCTTAGTGAGATCATCAGTGCATTCTGCCATGTCATACTGAAAATGAAATTCCAGTCAGACTGGTCTCTTCCCTGTTCCCTCCCTATGTATTATTAGAGCTGAGGCCTGGATAGAGCTGGGACCATAAACTGAAAATTATCAACACCGACCATACTGATCACTTACCGCAGGCATTTTGCTGATATCGTTCATTACGATAAGTAGCCTATACTAGAGAAATGTGAAGTTTGAAATGAAATACGTTTACTAATATGTGTGATTGTTACTGGGACAATTGATGGCTACAAACTTCAAACTAGTAGTAGTAGTTTAAAGGATAATAAAAAAAAACTGGTGCACATTAATGTTATAAACGTATAGTTCTATTTATCGTTATCGCATCAATTCAGGCAATTTATCGCAATATGGATTTTTGTCCATATGACCCAGCTCTAGGGATGGACTGACTGACCCCTCAGTGTTCTGGGACACCATTCAACTGAAGCAGAGTAATGACAGCCTGCTGGGATGATGATATGTCTCCCTGGCTTCTGACGCACTGGAGGGTACTAATCAACTGCTGTGGTTACTCACATCCAAACACACACACAGTGGGCACACCTCTCCTGGCCTGGCTGCACCCACGCTGTGACTCGGCATCGGTTTACACAATAGGCTCTCTCTAGAGCGAGACAGAGGACAGACTATCTACACAATGTCAGGATCGGATTACCCTATAAAAGGGCTATGGACAGAATGTCCCTCACCGTCGAGTGGCTGCTACAGTGGCACCACTCATTCATGTGATAAACAGAGATGTTCATGTGACCAAAACGGGCTCGAGATCTGTCTAAACATTTGGTGGCACCACAAACCATGCTGTAACTGTACAGTGTACATCCTTCACCCTGAGGACAGAGAAGGCTTGTGACCACATGGGCCAAATTATGCTGGGAGATGCACAGTATTTTTGGAATCTAAATTGTTTAACACTCATACCTCAAAAATGCTAAAAGCTACAGTATATATTCAACTGTAAATTAAAGAGAAATGCCATACTGTATTCATCAGCAATTCATAAATCTATGTGAAATGTATGATTACAAAGACAAAACAAGGCATCATTATTCCAGTCAGCAGATTGCCATGCAGTGTTAGAGCAGAGATAATATGGCTCAGACAGACAGGCCAGGGAGGCCATCTTACCTCACCACCACCACTGCTGACATAATGATGTCAGAGAGACTCAGTTCAGCTTGGGGTTGATGACACAGACATGATCCATTACAACTGAGTCACTGTTGTGTACCCAACCTGATTCACCAGACGGGAAACCTATTCCCAGTGGCACTACGTTAATCAAACTATAGTCATAATATAACCATTTATACCATAACACCATGATGAATCATGAATTTGATCAAAACACAGGTGGCAGATGAATGATCTTCTCAAAGTACATTTTGACAGTTGCCAATTAGACATAAGAGACACTGACTTCAGACTGACTTCACTGCCTTCAGAATGAGAAACAAATGAAGCCAGTGAATATTGGCAAATGTCCAGTCACTCAAGAATAAGATGGATGAGCTTCATTCGAGAGTCTCCTATCAGAGAGACTTGAAAAGCTGCAATATGATGTCTTACTGAAACGTGTCTGGATGATGACGCTATGCACGTAGTACTCTGTGGATTCTCCATGCAGCGGCAGAATCGGACGGCGGCTTCGGGAAGTCGAAAGTGTGTTTTTTTCATAAATAACAACTGATGTGCTGCTTCCAGTGTAAAGGAAATCTCAAGCTTTTGCTCACCTGATATAGAATACCTCATGGTTACAGTGGGGAAAAAAAGTATTTAGCCAGCCACCAATTGTGCAAGTTCTCCCACTTAAAAAGATGAGAGAGGCCTGTAATTTTCATCATAGGTACACGTCAACTATGACAGACAAAATGAGAAAAAAAAATCCAGAAAATCACATTGTAGGATTTTTAATGAATTTATTTGCAAATTATGGTGGAAAATAAGTATTTGGTCAATAACAAAAGTTTCTCAATACTTTGTTATATACCCTTTGTTGGCAATGACACAGGTCAAACGTTTTCTGTAAGTCTTCACAAGGTTTTCACACACACTTGCTGGTATTTTGGCCCATTCCTCCATGCAGATCTCCTCTAGAGCAGTGATGTTTTGGGGCTGTCGCTGGGCAACACGGACTTTCAACTCCCTCCAAAGATTTTCTATGGGGTTGAGATCTGGAGACTGGCTAGGCCACTCCAGGACCTTGAAATGCTTCTTACGAAGCCACTCCTTCGTTGCCCGGGCGGTGTGTTTGGGATCATTGTCATGCTGAAAGACCCAGCCACGTTTCATCTTCAATGCCCTTGCTGATGGAAGGAGGTTTTCACTCAAAATCTCACGATACATGGCCCCATTCATTCTTTCCTTTACACGGATCAGTCGTCCTGGTCCCTTTGCAGAAAAACAGCCCCAAAGCATGATGTTTCCACCCCCATGCTTCACAGTAGGTATGGTGTTCTTTGGATGCAACTCAGCATTCTTTGTCCTCCAAACACGACGAGTTGAGTTTTTACCAAAAAGTTCTATTTTGGTTTCATCTGACCATATGACATTCTCCCAATCCTCTTCTGGATCATCCAAATGCACTCTAGCAAACTTCAGACGGGCCTGGACATGTACTGGCTTAAGCAGGGGGACACGTCTGGCACTGCAGGATTTGAGTCCCTGGCGGCGTAGTGTGTTACTGATGGTAGGCTTTGTTACTTTGGTCCCAGCTCTCTGCAGGTCATTCACTAGGTCCCCCCGTGTGGTTCTGGGATTTTTGCTCACCGTTCTTGTGATCATTTTGACCCCACGGGGTGAGATCTTGCGTGGAGCCCCAGATCGAGGGAGATTATCAGTGGTCTTGTATGTCTTCCATTTCCTAATAATTGCTCCCAGTTGATTTCTTCAAACCAAGCTGCTTACCTATTGCAGATTCAGTCTTCCCAGCCTGGTGCAGGTCTACAATTTTGTTTCTGGTGTCCTTTGACAGCTCTTTGGTCTTGGCCATAGTGGAGTTTGGAGTGTGACTGTTTGAGGTTGTGGACAGGTGTCTTTTATACTGATAACAAGTTCAAACAGGTGCCATTAATACAGGTAACGAGTGGAGGACAGAGGAGCCTCTTAAAGAAGAAGTTACAGGTCTGTGAGAGCCAGAAATCTTGCTTGTTTGTAGGTGACCAAATACTTATTTTCCACCATAATTTGCAAATAAATTCATTAAAAATCCTACAATGTGATTTTGTGGATTTTTTTTTCTCAATTTGTCTGTCATAGTTAACGTGTACCTATGATGAAAATTACAGGCCTCTCTCATCTTTTTAAGTGGGAGAACTTGCACAATTGGTGGCTGACTAAATACTTTTTTCCCCCACTGTAGCTACAGACCCTTTAATCTACCAAGAGAGTTCTCATCCGTAATTATCACAGCTGTCTACATCCCTCCACAAGCCAACACCACTCTGGCACTCAACTAACTGTATGGGGCCATAAACAAACAAGTGGGTGGGTGGAGACTTAAAACCGTCCTACCTCACTTCTACCAACACGTCTCCTGTGTCACTAATGGCACTAAAACTCTAGACCACTTTTATTCTACCCACAGAAACGCATACGAGGCCCTCCCTCGTCCTCTGACCATGACTCCATTCTCCTGCATCCTGTTTACAAACAAAAGCTCAAACAGGAAGTACCAGTGATGCGCTGAATACGGAAGTGGTTGGATGAAGCAAACTGGAATATGTTCCGGGATTCATCCGATAGCATTGAGGAGTTTATCACAACAGTCACATGCTTCATCAATAAGTGCATAGACGATTTCATCCCCACAGTGACTATAAGAACGTATCCAAACCAAAAAACATGGATTAAAGGCAATATCCGCACTGGGCTAAAGGCTAGACCTACTGCTTAC